ATATTACAGCAATGCTAACTCTAAAACAGCAGCTAACACATTTAAACCCAGCACTCGGTTGGGGTAGAGGTGAGATCACTGGCCAACCATCCTAGTTTACATGGCCAGAGTTTACACAGAGAGACCCTGTCTCAAAAAACCAGATGTGACATTTGGCCAAATTCCTTGCAATATTTTTGGTTCCTGGTACAGACAATGAAAGAGAAGAGGAAGAAGATGGTGGAGAAGGATTAGAAGATATTGATGAAGAAAGGGATGAGAATGAAGGTGAAAAGAGGGTGAGGAAGGGTAGGAGGAAGGAGAATGGGACCAAAGAGAAAATGGCTACTGCAAAAGAATACTAGTGGATTCCAGCCTCCTTTGTAGATTCTCTTTTTCTTTTTAAATTTTCTCTAGTCTGAGGGAACAAGTCGCAGTCATTTCCATCTGTCACTCTTGTGCTCAGTTCCTGAGATCTCTCTTCCTAACATGATGGTCCTCAGATTATTGTGGAGAAAATATCTTGGGCAATACCTTGTTCAAGGCCAGCCAGGGATACACAGTGAGACCCTACCTCAAAAAAAAAGTAAAAGCTGAACATGTTGGCACAGTTCAATAATTCCAGCTAGTCTGGAGGCTCCAGCAGGAGGGTCACAAGTTCAAGTCCTGCTTCGGTCACTGAGTGACTTCAAGGCTATATGGGCAATGTATGGGGCAAATTATGCAAGACCCTGTCTTTTGTTTGTTTGTTTTCCATTTTTGAGACAGAGTTTCTCTACTTAGCTCTGGGTGTCCTGGAGCTCTCTCTGTGGATCATGCTGACCTTGAACTCACAGAGACATGCCTGCCTCTGCCTCCCAAGTGCTGGGATTAAAGGCGAGTGTCACCACAACTGGCTGCTAGACAGGTCTTTTTTGTTTTGTTTTTGGGTTTGGTTTTTTGGTTTTTTGAGACAGGGTTTCTTTGTGGCTTTGGAGACTGTCCTGGAACTAGCCTTTGCAGACCAGGCTGGCCTCGAACTCACAGAGATCCGCCTGCCTCTGCCTCCTGAGTGCTGGGACAAAGGCATGTGCCACCACCACCTGGTGAGACCGGTCTTTTGAAGTTTTGTTGGGCAGTGGAAAGCAGGATAAAATACACACATATAAGGTATAAAATTGAAGGGTATAACCAGGAACCCAGGGCCATTTGGTGTTGCTGGAATGTGAAGGTAAGAGACAAAGATGGCAGGAGAGGAGGTCAGTTGGGGGTGAGAAATTATGGAAAAGAGATTGCAGTGCTGTGGCAAGAAACTGTGGTGGTTTGAATGAGAATGGTCCCTCAACCAAGCCTTTTATGTTTGGTGGAACTGTTTGGGGAAGGATTAGGAGTTGTGGCCTTGTTAGAGGAGGTATGTCACTAGGGATGGGCTTGGAGGTTTCAAAAGCTCATGCCAGGCCAGGTGTTGGAGGCGCACACCTTTAATCCCAGCACTTGGGAGGCAGAGGCAGGCGGATCTCTGTGAGTTCGAGGCCAGCCTGATCTCCAGAGAGAGTGCTAGGATAGGCTCAAAAGCTACACAGAGAAACTCTGTCTCGAAAAAACCAAAAAAAAAAAAAAAAAAAGCTCATGCCAGGCCTAATTAATCTCTTGTTCTCTACCTCCAATTTGTCAGTTGTCAGCTCTCAACTACTTTAGGTTCTCATGTTGCCATGTTCCCTGCCATGACAGGCATGGATTCTCTCTCTGAAGCAAGCCCCATATTAAATCCTTTCTTTTATATAAGTTGCCTTGGTCATGGTGTCTCTTCACAGCAATAGACAGTAACTAAGACAGAACCTTAGACTTTATTCTATGAGAACCAAAGGGGCTGGAAGAGAGATTCAAACAATGGGAAGCTGAGGATAGATCACTTAGAAGCTGCTGCAGTGGCACTGAATCAAAGGCAGACTTTGGCAAACAGTTCAGGAAGAGTCAAATCAATAGACCTTGGTGATTGATTTGATAAATCTAGGTGCCTGGCAAAGAGAGAAAATAATGTATCACTTTTTTTCTAGTTGTCACACTGGTGGCAGCCCTAACCAAAAGGACTGTTCCTAACAACAGTGAGACAGGGATACAGAACTCTCTCATACTCTCCTCGATGTTGGTTGATGGCACTGCTGTCTCCCCAGTGTTCAGGATGACTTGGGGCCCGAGATACATCTTGGCTCTTTTCTTTCACATTCCACATATTTGGTTTCATTTCCAAAATGAATCTAAAGTCTAACTCCATCGCGTTAGTTCTCCTGCTGTTGCTCGTGAACTGTGGTTCCTTAGCAGTCTTCCCCTGATCAGACATTAGTAGATCACGCCCTGTTTTGGCTTGGAATCAGGCCAGTTTCCCATTTCTCTCAGTAAATCCACATGGTCAATTCCCATTACTCTTTTAATATTTTCCCATCTTTTAAGGTTGATGTTTGTGTGTACATGAGTGCTTGCCTGCATATGGAAATGTGCACTACATACTTGCCTGATACCCACAGGGCCAAAAGAGAGTGTAGTGCCAGAGCCCCTGGAACTGGAGTCACAGATGGTTGCAAACTGTTGTGTGTGTGTTGGGAACTGAGAGTCAGGAGAGTCAGGTCCTCTGCAAATGGAGCAAATGCTCTTTAAACATTGAGTCACCTCTTTAGCTCACCTCCTACCTTCCTTCTCCTCCTCCTTGGGGTTTTCAAGACAGGGTTTCTCTATATAGCTTTGGAGCCTCTCCTGGCACTCACTCTGTAGACCAGGCTGGCCTTGAACTCTCAGAGATCTGTCTGCCTCTGCCTCCTGAGTGCTGGGATTAAAGGTGTGCACCACCAACGCCGAGCTCTCTCTTTTGAGACAGGGAATTGCAGAGTAGCACAAGCTGGTCTCAAACTCCTGCATTCCTCCTTCCATTGCCTCCCAAGTCCTGGGACTTCAGACATTCCAGTTCTGGACTTAAAGATCATTTATTGCTATTATTTGGTTTATTTACTTCTCGCTCCAGCTGCTCTCATCCTTCATTGACTCCCAGTCACACCCAGATTCCTGGCTAGGCACATCTTTTAGGCAGGTTCCTGCCTTAGGGCTTGTAAATGACCTCTGATTGATTTGTTTAAACTTTATTATTAATGCTTATGAATAAACAATGTGTGTGTGGTCACTGTGCCATGCTGTGTGGGGAGTCAGAGGAAAACGTTCTGGAATTAGTTCTCTCCTTCCACATATGCATGTGGTCTGGCTTCTGTATGAAGCACCTTTATTCATGGAGCCATCTTTCTGGCTATGATTTTACACACACACACACATACACCACACCACACACACACACACACACACACACACACACACACACACACACACACGGTAAAAAGAAATTCCCCCATTTCTCCCACTTTTTTTCCAGTATTAGATAGGGACTAGACCTAGATTCTAATTAAGCATGTGTTCCTCCACTTAGATACACCTCCAGCCCTTTTTCCTACTTTATATTTTTAGACAGGCTCTTTCTACACTCCCCAGGGTGGCCTTGAACTTGTTATCCTCCTGCATAGCTTCTGAATATATGGAATTACAAGCCTGCACCACCAGGCATTAATGTTTCCATTGTAATCTGCCTCTCTGCCTTCCAGACCTCTTACTGTTCTTTCTTCATAATACCTGTTCCACTTATCTGAAATCTTCAAAATTATTTCTCTTATTTAATACCTGCTGCCATCCTTTACCCTGGCAAATGGTAAAATCCATAAAGGCAAGAACAATGCTCTATTTTGTTCCCTCATGTAATCTGATGTAAGACCTGGACAAAATCTGGCCTGAAGTAAGCTTCCAACACATATTTGAATGAATGTATTAGCATAAGGAAAGAGGCCAGGAAAATGGAGAGAGGTTGAGGTAGCTAAAAGGGGCGATTAATATTTTTTAAAAAAATTAATGCTTGTTTTGGTTATAGTATAAATATACATAAATTATACTGTATTTAAACTTTTTTAAAAAGAAACTGTACATCTTTAAGAAGCAATAGAGCCAATCGTTCACTGGTAGCTGTGTAGGGTAATTTTTAAAGTAATGAAGATGCCATACTGAGTGGTTAACTGACTTCAGGTGTGTGCACTGTCAGTAAGAAAAAGTATTGTGAGCCGGGTGTTGGTGGCAAACGCCTTTAATCCCAGCCCTCGGGAGGCAGAGACAGGCGGATCTCTGTGAATTCGAGGCCAGCCTGGTCTCCAGAGCCAGTGCCAGGAGAGGAG